GGGGACAGAGGCTACAACAACCGGGGACAGAGGCTACAACAACCGGGGACAGAGGCTACAACAACTACAACCGGGGACAGAGGCTACATCAACCACAACCGGGGACAGAGGCTACATCAACCACAACCGGGGACAGAGGCTACAAAAAAAATGCTCTAATTCAAACAGGCATAAAAGCTCACTTGCATACTACCTCAAAGGGCTGGACACGTGTACAAAACAAAACTCCAACATTTCGGCACACCTACTAGAGCCTTTCTCAAGGGATCACCTTGGTAACAGTATAACTTATAGCCTGGGTCACTGGTTGTTATAGTCTTGTCACTGGTTGTTAGTCTTGCAACAGTGTTTGTTTTGCATTTTTGTTTGATTTACTTTGTATAATAAAGATATTTGCATACAGTAATATGATGTTTGGCATTAAGGGATGGCTCTTTAAGATAGCCCCCATATTGGTTATGTGAATTGCAGCAACTTTCCAATTGAATTTGTTTAGTTAAAGAAAAAAAAAAACGGCAACATCTTGGGCCCACTTATTGTTCCATTTATTAAATAGAGGTCATGGGAACATTTTCAGTGTAAGGAAGGACCAACATAGAGAGATTAGAAACTGTTACATTTTAGTGCGACTCGTTACTTACTATTCTGTCACTCTTTGTGGATAATGATAAGGTGTAACACTAGGAACAGAATGCATTTTATATATTGTGACACATTGTTGCAGAGCAGTGCACTAAACGGCAACATTTAAGGTAAAATAGTGAGTGTTGAAAAATTCTCCAACTGATCTATAGCCATAGCTTGGCTGTTTAAGCCTAACAATTATAATTTGATTTTTAATTCACTATTTAGTGAATAAACCTTAAATAGTTACTCCAATCATCATAGCCAGTACAGCCCGCTGTAGTGGTTAGGATGCTGGGAGTACCCTGGTCCTGTTTCCCAGCAATGGGGCAAATTATTTTTAAATGATTGGCCTTCTTTACTAGATCGCCACTGGGTGTTGAAGGTCCTCCAGTGGCCAGTGACGTGCATCCGGCTTCTGTAGAGCTGAAATCAAATCATTGGAATGGTCATGGTGCTTGGAGTAACCCTTTAATGTCTTAATATTCTGCCGGTGTTATGCTTAACACTCTGCAAGCCGAACATTAGGAGGGTCAGGATGCAGAAAGTGCGAAGATGTAAACCCCTGCTCAATTTATATCTCAAACAGGTCTGTTCATACTTAACCTTTTCCTGACCGATAGGGTTCCTTTTAAAAATGAACACTTTGTGTTTAATGATTTCTATTTTGTTATGTGTACAGTTTTATTAATAACAGTACGCTATTTTAAACATGACACAATGTAGCCGGCTGCCCACAGCCTGTTCCTGCCACTCACTACAGATGAGTAGCTGAGAGCCACATGTAACATTAAGATCAAAGAACTTAAAACCAAACGAAATCTAATCAGAAGTCCTGGAAGAAATAGCAATAGTGGACAATCAACTCCCACAGGACTGCATTCTGCTTTATTCCACTAAGGGTTTACGTGACAAGTACCAATATTTAGTATTCTTAATATAAATTCTGACTAACTAGAACAATATTTTTGGAACGCTTATAAAAGGATTGTTAAAATATTTTGCAACAATTAGCTTCATTCTCTCAAAACAATTAGAAAACGCATGTACAAAGTGGAACCAGTTGACGCTATTTGAACAGGTGTATTGAAACCCCAAACATACAACAGCTGGGATTGTGTGAGACTATAATACATGGTCACTGAGGACACAAATCACAGGGAGAGGGGATTGTAGCAAGGAAAACAATCCCTGTTAAAAGGAGGAATGTAAAAATAAAAAAATGGAAGTGTTTAGTTAATGCGGCATTGTGACTTGAGCAGCCCTTGTGTTTATTTGAAGACCACCATCCCAGTGTCATGAGACAGGAAGGACGTCCCTATGAGACTGTGAGGTCCTCTAGAGATCTTGTGGCGCATGCGTGAGTAATAACGATTAGGACATCCATCGAACATTGGACGAGAGAGCTCCTCTTCCCCTCGGTATTGACAACTAATGGGAAATGTTCATAAAACACTGGTTTTGGTTAGAGTAACCCTTTGAGAGATTGTCTGCACCACCAAAGTTAAAAATAAATAAAAGAAATGCTAAAACCAAAACATACCTTCACTCCACTGCCAATACTCCTTGGCTGATGCCACTGGGTAATGATGCTGCCATAGGTGGAGTTACATGTGCATACAAATGGCAGGCACCATAACCACTTCAAAATCACTGGACACAGTGCTTGGAATACCCTCTAAAGCTTCATCTTTTGCATAGATAAAGAGAATACTGCCTACTTAATCCGAATATACTGCCTACTTAATCTCTCTCTCTCTCTCTCTCGATTGGATTAGCCCAGAAGACAAGATGCCAAAATACCAGAGTATTGCAATATCATCTTTTTATTGGACTAACAATTGTCTTTGAAATATTATGTGAGACCAATAAAAAAGGTATAATTGCATACTGCAATACTCTGGGATTTATAATGTGGTTACATATATATTTTAACAGTTACAAACTACGCATATTGTTTTATAATCTTAAATAAATAAAATATAGATTTTAGGTGTGTGTGTAAACTTACCATGTATTACCCAAGAACTGAGGAGGTGCGCTCAGGAATGCATAGTGAGGTGCTACACAGAGATTGCACCATAATTACTGTCACAGTTTGGAAGCTATTCAATTAGTAACCAAGACAAGTCATTCTAGTAACATAGCATTGTATCCTGTATGGAACCGCTCTGCAAGGGATATTTTATAGATAGAATGTATATTGTCTTACTCATTAACCCCTTAAGGACCAAACTTCTGGAATAAAAGGGAATCATGACATGTCACACATGTCATGTGTCCTTAAAGGGTTAAACTGGCATGATCAAAGAATGTATACAGGAATTGCATTCTTGAGGCCAAACCACTTATCTGTAAAAATCAATGAGAATTTTACATATTCAGCATTTTTTAACTAATACCTACATTCCCAGTTTAGTGAATAATCTCAAACACTGCGATTATAAAATCATTTAGTATTAATAAAGCAAACAGACAGCCTGCTATTGGTATACTGTATACTAATACAAAAACAGATCTCATCACATTTAATCTAACGTACATCAAAAGGGCTAAACACACTTCTAACAGAGACCCCCCCCCCCTTCCATCAACTGGCACCACAGATGTTAATCAGAGTATTATCAATGAACTCCACCTGAACTGGCATCCAAGGGGTTACACACACTCATCAAATAGGTTGGCATCAAAAAGGTTAAACATACTGTTGGCACACTGATAGCCAATAGGCTGACACCCATAGAGTTAAACACTGACAGAGTAAATCGTCCTGACTGTCTGCCAAGGGGGTTAATGTGTTAAATATGCTGTATACAGAGCTACCCCTGAGCAGGCAACTAAAATGTAACCGAAACTGTATCTCTGGGGTAACCTTGGTCTGGCATTCAAATGGTTAAACATATTGTATTACAGAGACAATCTTGGCTGTCACCCAATGGGTTAATACTGTTACTGGCACCCCATGGGTTAAACATGCTGTTACAGATAAAACAGACATCCTTGGGGTAACAGATACTCCTGGGTTACACAGGTTGTTGTTGCAGGGATACCACCCCTGATGGTTGTACTTACCAGACTCCTGCTCCTTCTCACTCCCTAGGTGCACAGTGAGGGCCCTGGTACCAATCTGAGGGTTGGATTTCCTCCTTATGGCCACTCTCCTAAAGTCCTCTGCATTCATGGTGTTTGTTTGTTGAGGTTCTGCCAAATCCCAGGTCTCCAGGCTGCACCCTCACCCAGCCTCAGTGAGTCCTGCTCAGCCCAGGGACCAAGCCATCCCAGCCATGAAATGCCTCAAACTGCAGAGATCAGCTGGGCAGTGGGAGTCCAGCCTGCAGCTCTCCCTGTGCTGATCAGCAGCTTCTGTGTGAACTCTCAGACAGGGAGGGGAATGCATGCTTGTGGCACTCCAACTTCCAGCCCCTCCCTCACCTGGAGACTGTTACCTGAGGATCTCACAGACAGGTACAGAGCTGTGTGTGTACACACACTGCCTCCATAGGCTGAGAGTTCAGAGAATTCCATGAACCTCATCCTGGATACATAGTGTCAATCAATGGAGACATCTCCAAGAGGACAGTGTGGGTAGTTCTTTAATAAACACTCACAAATCAATGGAAAGTACTGCCAGTATACTCTGCACATTAAACCCCTTCTCACATGTCTATTGATAAACACATGACACCCAGACACATGTTATATTTCTATTCTATTCAATAATAATAATTAATATTCTCCTCCTGTCCTACTGTGTTTTACACCCCACCTCCTCTAGACTGTAAGCTTGTTTGAGCAGGGTCCTCTTCATCATATTATTCCTGTAAGTTTTTTGTAATTGTCTCATTTATTGTTAAATCTCCCCCTTTTATGTACATCGCTATGGAATATGTTGGTGCTATATAAATGCCAATAATAATAATAATAATATTCTACTCTTACACATTGTGCTTTATTCACTAAACTCTGAATTACAGAGAACTGGTATTTAGAAAATAGCCCAACCGTGGCCATACAGCGAGCTAACCTGGAGAATTTTTCCGAATCTGCATTTTTTTTGCCCAATTTTTTGTAGCTAACACTAAAACTGTACCAACGCTCACATTAACTTTATACCAACCATGCCCCTTACCCAATGCTTACACTATCTCTAACTGCATGCCTTATTATACCCCTATACTATCCCTCATTCTAAAACAGCATTACCCCAAACCCAGCATTAACCCGTACTGTAAGAAATTGATATGCAAAACTGCAATATGGTATATAACGTTCTGTGTATGTGACTGGTTTCACAACTTGGGGTCCTCTGTCTGATAACAGTGTGATATTGATCAAAGCTTTCAGATGCATTTTACAACACCCAGCTAATATAAAAGCTTACATCTGTCCTGCAGTTCTTCTGTCAACCAGTTTTCCATCCATGTTATCAGGAGTTCAGGAGACCCGGAGTTATTAACATCTAGTTGTAACCATGGAAGTGTTTTCCCAAGCTATCCTGCCTCTAAAAGAAGTCCAGGCGTGCTCCCAACCTACCCAAAAACCAACCCTAACTGGTCACTTCTTACACAAAGTTATAGTGTAGCTAGGGGGAAGAGATCAAAGAAAAGGACTTGTGTAAAGATGGAACTCTCTGTGGAAAGAGGACGAGATGAACCACTTTTTGGGAGGTTAAAGGGATTCTGGGACTTGTAGTTAATGACTGCAAGAATGTTGGGTTCCTCTCCTCTCTTTTCTCTCTTTGTCTCTTTTTGTGAGGAGAGCGAGGCAAGCACAGGTGCCATGGTGAACTGAGAGAGACTGTCCCAGACTACCTAAGATGAAGGCTCAAGGGGAAGATCTCCATTTAAATGTCTAAGTACTGCCCTTTTACTATGTATCTTTTGGTTTTGGACAGGATGTGGTTATAATGTGTATTATGTATATCCTTTTTAAATCTTTAACATTATCCTAAATCAATATTAACAATACATTTTATTAAACACTTGTGTTTGTGTCTTATTTGTCACACATTCCCTAAAAGAATAACCTTGTAAGAGGGTCATAATTTCTTCCATTACCTCACCCTAATACTAACCCAACATTAACCCTAAACCTACAGCTAACCTTATCCTTACATTAACTCGAACCCTACCCTACTCTAACCCCTAAATCTCACCATAACCTCACCTATATCCCTAGCCCTAGGGAAACCCTCTGCTAATATCAAGTCTGAGATCAGAAATTGGTTTTCTAGTTAAAACGGTAGATAGTGGTCTGTGACAACCATATCCTGGCTGTTTACATATTTATAATCTAAGGAATTATAAATGGAGCCTAGTAAATTACACTGTGGTCGGCATTGGGCAGCTGTAAAAGCCCAGCACAGATCACGATTGGCTGGGGATATTTAGGGGATCTCCTAGGGGGTCTCCATTAACAAGCCTGCAGCCCAGAAACACAACGGACGAAATCGATCACTCCCCCGCTGAGTTATAAAATAATTGAAAGGGTTCTATGTAGAGCACTGACCTCTAGTACTGCATAGAGCTAAACGGTCAGTCTACGACCTCTAAAAATAGCCCCCGCTGACTGAGTAGAGCTCCAGGTAACAGGCGATACATGTGTTTCCTGGTGTGAGCAGGGATTAAACCTTTTTTAATGCCTAGTTAATGAACTGCTTGCAGAGCTGCCTTTAAGATCAATATGAAGCTTGTGAAAAAGTCTAGGGTCACTAAAAATGTATTTACATCCAATCAAATGCTTCTCATAGGGGAGCATTGAATCCAATGCTGCATTTCATGAGCCCATAATTCTGTGAGGACATCAAACATCATATGACAGAGTGACATACACCTCTAGTGAATGTAAGAAAGATGGCCAGTAGAGGTGTGCCACTAGAGGTGTGTTTAATCCTTCAACCAAAACCTACTAAACGGCAATGGTTTAAATTGACAGGCTAAAAAGACAGTGACATCAAACCTAAACGACTTCATTATGGTGAAGTGCATTGGGGGCGTTTAGTGGTCCTTTAAATTAGAGGTGAACCAAGAAGTAAAACTGTGCAGGGACCTGATTGGAGATTGCAGTGACACAGGGGAAAGACTGGTTTCAAACTGCGATTGGTCTAAATTTTGGGCGATCAGCTTTTTGGTCCAAATTCCAAAATGCCAGGTAGACGAATCACAAAACGAATGGAACAGGCAATGGATGAAGGCATTTTGTGATTTGAAGTTCTGTCCGTAGTGCCCCAAAAAAGAGGATTGATGGTAAATAAATTGACTGATATTACTTTTAATCACAGTGAGAGAGACCGATAGAGAGAAAAAAAGAAGGAACAGTCAAAAACTCTGTAAATTATTTATTTATAAAATATTTTAGCATTATGGATACATTGAGATTTCTCTAGTTTTCAAGTATGTCCTCTGTATAAATAAATATATTAAATATTAAATATATATCTACATTATTATTATTATTATTATGGGTATTTATATAGCGCCAGCTTATTCCGCAGCGCTTTACATTAAAACATTTACATATATATCTATAATAATATAATAATATAATATATCTATAATAAATATATGATATATAAATACAGATTTTCTTCATTCACACGAACACCAAATGGTGGGTACATGCGCCTATCTGTGTAATGTCAAATATATTCATAATATCTATATTTTGCAGTACACTAGTTGGCCAATTTTCCCACTATTTTGGATTGTCTGATTTGTTTTCCCAAAATGATTGCACGGACTAAATTTGTCCGAATTGATATGCCACACGGATGAACCCTGAATCACCCATGAAATTACTGGACAAATCTCTTTCAGTCTGTAGGTTCTGTCTGATAGCTGGCACGACAAGCCCTCTACACTGCAAACCACAAGTATTCCAATCACTGGGGGGTAGAGCGATGTCCACCAGGATCTCGGCAGGCATCTGTGACATCGCTGACTGGTTCTTGAGCTCCCTGCCTTGGTGGCACTAGCCATAGCTACTTGGTAAACTGTAGAGAGAGTGCCTGTGTGAGGTAGAAGTGACCACGATATCCATCAGAGGACCATGAGATGGGGGATTGCATTTCAAACATAAAATCCGGCTCAGAATTAATACTATTAGTCTTGCTACCCTAAATACAAAACCTCCTTGCAAAGTACACACTTCACATGCAATTTTCACCTCTTGTTATTCATAATTGGCTGAGTTCAATATCCAGGTCCTGTTCACAGTGTCCAGAGCTGGATTAAGGTTGTCCAGGTTTAGGCCCAGATTAGGCCCAGGGCTCTGTTTCTGTGACTGTTGATGTGTGTGGGGGTCATGGACTGTTGTGTGGGAGAGTGTGTGTAGTGGCTAGATGTGGTGTTTGTTGTCTGAGTTCTGTATAGGGGAGGAGGTTGAGTATGTGTGTGTGTTCTGGTTGATTGTGTGTGTGTAGACTGAATATTAGAAAACAGAGTTTTTCACCTTAAAGGAGAAAAAAGTGTAGGTGGATTGGCACTAGATAGTACAAAGCAGCAACTACCCCCAGTGTCTAAAAACCACTAAAAGACACTAACAAATGGTGAAATAACAATAAAACAATGTGGGGGGTGCAAGCCAAAGGAAGAAAATATATATATACTTAATAGTTGTAAGTCTTGAAGTTAATCTGAAAGATATAACAATGCATACATAGCATAATACTGTATGTGTACAAATATAATATATGACAGAGGTAATGGGTCACTCACGATATATAGAGCCTCAACTAGCAGGCTTGAGCTGTCATCACTTTTGAAAAATACGCTTGTTCAAGCTATCTCCACCATGTTCCTGTATTAGCTGATATCCACCACCGGATGCAAAAAAGATGAATAGCAGACCAGGATCAATGAAGTATAAAAAGTATTTACTCAAATAAAATAAACAACAGTAAAAGAATCGCGGTAAAAATATATAACATCAATAGAGCACAACGCGTTTCGACCTTCAGTCTTTTTCAAGGCTGAATATTGTGTGTGGAGGAATCTAAATGTTGTCTGTGTGTGTGGAGGGGAGTCTTAGTGTGGCTGAGTGTTGTGTTTGTAGTTTCTGAGTGTGTTGGGGAAGGAGTTTGAGGATTTGTAGAGAGGTTTTTCATTTGCTCCATCCTGTTTACCTTCTGACAGAAGGGGGTGTCATCCTTGGTGGTCCACTGATTGCAGAATCCATGGTGGTTCAGCGATGCAGCAGTGGGGCTCCCTTGATGCCTAGCCCTTTGTCAGTGACTCAGAGTACTGTGAGTCATTAAGAAGTAAATTATCAACCAGAGAAAAGCGATTTTTTTCATATTTAATGAGTGGTTTTATAGTAACTAGAAATTTGCTTTTAAATGTTTATTTGTGTTCCCAGGGGCCTTGTATTTATTGTTGTCACAAATTTGGCTGATTTCCTTTTTTAATATTCAGTATTTCTCAGTTTATGAAAGTTCTATTTATATTAATGTGAATAAGACAACTAAAACAGTATATATTAATACAATGCTATTGTGTAGATTTGTGTTTTTAAATTTGGTTAAACTGCGATTCAGTCAAGTTTGGGCTGTCTGACACATTGACCACATCACGTGAGAACTATGAATCATCATTTAATGTGACAGAACTAATTGCTGTCCGTCCGTATCTCTGAAGTGTCATATGAACATATAGCCAAACAGAGGACTAGTACGATGGCAGAACATTTGGTATTCAGAGTTCCACCCGTGGAGCATAAAAGGGAGAAATGATTGACAGGAGAAGGCTGATTGACAATTAGAAGATAAATATTTAACGTTCCTCCTCTTTTCCCCTCTGTTGGTTACTTGATCTGCAAAAATGTAGGAAAACGTGTATATATATATATATTTTAAGTATATATTTTGCAGTACACTTGTTGGGCCATTTTTTTGTCCTTTTTGATTTGTCTAAATGTTTGCCAGAATATTTTTTCATGAACGATATTCTTTGGATGCTTGAACGTGTGGGGAAAAATAATTTGGCTGACCCAAACTTTCCTGCCATGTTCAAGTCTGCTATTGTCATCAAAATAAATAGAAAGTGTATCAGCCTTTCAAGTTGAATACTGTGCGTGTCACTAGTTAGAGGTGTTCCCCCAGGAATCAAAGTATAATATATATAATAATGCAATAATAAAAAGATAAAATACTGCATATAAAACACACCAAAGTGTAAAGCAGTGATTACAAATACTTGAAATTCCAAAACTGTATTCAATGAACGTCCACAAGTAGCAATGCATTATCTAGAAGAAGTATAAAAAAATCAAATAGTATAAAACTGTATAGAACAGTAGTATAAATGAGGGGTGAAACTGCACTCACATAACACAGAGCCATACCAGGCTCTGTATAAAATGCCCCCCCAGGGTGTCTGTACATGCTTAAAGATGTCTCCCTCTTTGCAGCACACAGAGATCCAAAGGTGGAAGTCAGGGATATTTAATTTATTTAAACTTCAAAGGTATATTATAGGATAAAAACAAATATAAAACCAAATCAAATGAAGTAACAATTTAGTAGAAGCGGGGTGGTGTGCCAAATAATAGTAGTGTCAGTAATATATAAAAAACAACTGTAAGTAAATTAAAGCTCACTGCTGGCAACACGAACTCCAAACTTAAACGTCTCAAAGCAAACGCGTTTCAACCTGTTCCTGGTCTTCTTCCAGTGCTGGAGACTCCATGTGAGATTATTTTTACTCATGGA